AGGCTGAGTCAGCGCTGGCACGGCACGGCACGAGAGCAACATCTCTAGGGGCTCTCTGCCAACACCTAGCCCCCAACCAAGGCGAGGCCAGGCACTGGTTTGGGGAGATAACATGGTGCCGAAGGCAGGCCCCTGAGGATACAGCAGCCATGCAGAAGAGGATGGCCAGATCATGTGAGTGTCCATGCTCTGTGGGCTGTGAAGGTGTCTCTCTGGGTCAAGAAGCACACTCTGCCTGAGAAGGGAGGGATCAGAGGCAAGTCCCGGCTCTGCTCACTCACTGAGTCACCCCCATTATCCTTTCTCCTATTGGCCTCAATTCCTCTCTGCTTTGGAGAGAGGGTCGTGTAGCTATGCTTGTCCTGGAACTTGCTATATAACACCAGGCTGTCCTCTAACTCCCAGAGATCCGTCTGCCTCTGCCTCACAGGTACTAGGATTAACAGTGTGCACCACACCTGATGGTAATTCCTTGACAGCAGGATGGGGTCAGTATCTCCTTAACGAGGTCATGAGAGTTGAGTGGCCCATGTGGAAGTGCTTTGTAAACTATTCAGTGGCTTCTGGATAGGGTGGCAGAAGTGAATGCCAAGGCCAGGGCTTCTGGAGACACCTAATCCATGGATATTCAGCTGCTCACTGGCTAGGCTGTTGCAGCCCAGGGTGTTGAAATCCAGCCTATCTCCGTTTACAGAACTATGTGACCAGTCTGGAACTGCAGGGACAGAGAGTGTGCCTTTATCTAAGGTCTGAAGCATGCACATGGCGGTTCAGACCTGTGATTCTAGCACTAAGAAGCTATGGCAGGAAGATCAGAACTGTGAGACCAAATTGTGCTACATCACTGTTTCAAAATTGTGGGGGCAGAGGGCCTATGGATGTAGCTCCGCTGGCAGAATGCCCAGCAGGCATTAAACCCTGGTTTAATCTCAGTTACTGCATAGCTGGGCAGCACTAAACTGGGTGTGAGTGTGCACACCTGCAATCCCAACACTCAAGTGTAGGCACAGGATCATAAATTCAAGATGAGCATGTTTGAATCCCAGCACGTGGGAGGCAGCATTAGGCCTTGATTCCAAGGCCAACTTGGTTTACACAGCCAGATCCAGGCCAGCTAGAGCCACATAATGAAACCATTTTTAAAAACAAAGCCTGAGCAACTAAGATGGCTTAGTAGATAAAGGTGCTTGCCTGACCAGAGTTGGATCCTTGGGACCCACACTGTGGAGGGAAAACTGACTTCTCCAAATTGTTCTGACCTCCAAATTGTTCTGACCTCATGAGACGAACTAGCCTCTGAACCGTCCTAAAAAGTAATTTTTATTAGTTTTAGTATTTTGTAAAGACTCATTTTTCTGCGTATGGGTGTTTTTTCCTGTATATGTCTCTGAACCATGTATGCAGTGCCTGCAGAGGCCAGAAGAGGTCATCTTAGCCCCTGGAACTGAAGTTAGAGGCCATTACTAGCCACCTGTGAATGCTGGGAATTAAACCCACCATTCTCTGGAAGAGTAATCAGTACTTTTTTTTTTTTTTTTGGTTTTTCGAGACAGGGTTTCTCTGTGTAGCTTTGCGCCTCTCCTGGAACTCACTTGGTAGCCCAGGCTGGCCTCGAACTCACAGAGATCCGCCTGGCTCTGCCTCCCGAGTGCTGGGATTAAAGGCGTGCGCCACCACCGCCCGGCGTAATCAGTACTCTTAAGTACTGAGCCAAGTCCCCAGGCTCTTTAGCCCCCTCCCCCCCATCCAGGAACTCACAGATATCCACCTGCCTATGCTTTCCAAGTGCTAGGATTAAAGGCACGTGCCACCATGAACATCATTTTTTTTTTTTTTTTTTTGGTTTTTTTTGAGACAGGGTTTCTCTGTGTAGCTTTGCGCCTTTCCTGGAACTCGCTTTGGAGACCAGGCTGGCCTCGAACTCACAGAGATCCGCCTGCCTCTGCCTCCCGAGTGCTGGGATTAAAGGCGTGCGCCACCACCGCCCGGCGAACATCATTTTTTAAAAACCTAAAAACTGAGGGTAGTGGTACAGGCCTTTAAACCTAGCACTTTGGGAGGTATAAGCAGGTGGATCTCTGTGAGTTCAAGGCCAGCCTGGTTTACATAGTGAGTTCCAGAAGACCCAGGGCTACATAGTGACACCCTGTCTCGATAAAATTTAAGTCTAAAAACAAATACATCTTGAGGTCAAAGAGTAGCCCCTTGGGCCTTCCTGGAAAGACCTAAGACACTGATTCTGATCCATGTGTGCAGAGGTTCTCAGAAGTGAAAGGCACCATCTTCATTGCTGAGGGAGGAAGAAAAAGGCCTGGCATCAGAGCTGCCTCTTCTGGCCCTGCCTTTCCTCAGGAGCCAAAGCAGGCAACCATCAAGACACTTTTTTTTTTTTTTCCAAGACAGAGTTTCTCTGTGTAGATTTGGTGCCTGTCCTGGAACTCGCTCTGTAGACCAGGCTGGTCTCGAACTCACAGAGATCCACCTGTCTCTGCCTCTCTAGTGCTGGGATTAAAGGCGTGTGCCACCGCCGCCCAGCTCCAGAACAATATTTTTTAAAAACACTCAAGACACAGACCCAAGCTGGGTTTTATTGAAATGCCAGGAGCAGGCACATGTCAAGGTAGTCAGGGAAGGGATGTTGGTGATGCAGGCTATGAGTTTGCAGGGAGGAGAGCCCTATGTCCATGACCCTGCATCCTCTCTTGGCCCGAATATACAGGCCCCAACAGCATGCTCAGTCCTTGTAGGTCCCTGCCACCCGGGCTAGGATGGCTCCAAGGGCAGGGACTGGAAGCACTAAGTGTTCTCCCTTAGGAGGGAGGAGAGGAAAGGGAGATGCAGGGTGAGTAGAGTAGGGGACAGAGGTGGCCAGGGCAGGCTTTCTTGAGTGTCCTGGGCAGTGGCAGGAGCAGCATCAAAGAGGGCAGCTGAGGACCCGGCCCTCAGGGAGCCCAAGCCCCAGCCTGTGGGGGCTGGAGTCAACCCAGCAGAGAGAAGTTCAAAGGGACTGAGTATAGGCAGTTCCCAAGTCAATTAGTCCTCAGAGCTAGGGAGCTTGGCCTTCTCGGGACAAGGAAGAAAAGAAAGAAGGATCCATCCCCGGCAGGGGAGCAAAAGGTGGTCTCTCCCACTTGGCCCCACTAGGTCAGTTCTACATTGTTGGCACGGTCCAGCACTCGGGAGCCACGGGCATTGCCTCCAAGCTGGAAACGGCTCTCATAGAGAGTGGGGCAAAGGTGCCAGCGGTTGGCTCGGTAGATGCCCAGGTAGGTGTAGACATCAGGTTTGTAAGTGAGCAAGCACTTAATGCCTGCAGCACGGATGGCAGAATCTGCCTCCAGCACACCCAAGCGGTCCGTGAAGTCGTCTGTGTAAACACAGATGACCTGGCGCCCACCCTCCTTGGCCCGTGGGCTCACCTTGGCCACCTGAAGACGGCCTTCAACTACAGCCCTGGCAATGCCAGCCCAGGCATGGTCCAGCTTAAAGCCAGGTGCCAGGTGAATCAGCCACTTGCCAGAGAGCACATGGTGGGTGATGGCCAGCTGGCGCAGGGTACCTGGTGTGATGGGCCGCCCACTGGTCTGCAGAGCCTCCCAGGCTGCCTGCAGCCCTTGAACATCCCCTGAGTTGGGGGTGTAACCCTGCCCATAGGCTGCAATCCAACCCACAGGTTCAGAGTTGGGTGAACCTGGGTCCCCATAGCGAGTAACTTGAGATGGTGGGTACTTGGCCAACCAGGCATCCAGCTCTGAGGCAGGTGTAGTACGGGCGTCAAATACCAGCCAGGGGTCCATGTCGGCTGCCATGGCCTCTGCAGCCAGGTGCTCAGCAGTGAAGCCATCCTCCCGGCCACCTGGAGAGTCCTCCTCTTCCAGCTCCTCATTTGGTTCCATCCTGTTGTGAGGGAACTGAGTCAGAGGAGGTTTGAGAAAGTAAATATCAAGTGCTGGGTCCTAGAGTGTGCCAGGCACTGCGTTAAACTGTGTGGCCGTGGGCAAGACTTAACGTCTGTGCCTCAGTTGCTTCATCTTTACAATGGGATAACAACTGATCCTGTCTAGATTTGTCTTTAAAATAAAATGCCTGAGGTCAAATCACTATTGTTAGTATTACTTTCACTGCTTACAAACAAGGAAATTGAAACTCTGAGAAACGGGACTTGCCCAAGGTCACGTCTGTATTAAGTGGAACAGCTGAAGTGCGAATTGGCACAGGACTCTGCTACACCTCTTGACTAGAGACCAGCAGGTAGCACGGCACTGCCATTTATGGAATGTAGGCAAAACGCACGTTTGCCTACCCTAAGGGGTGGCGGTGGAAGGCTAGGCCTCCCCATCATCTATTTGGGGCACACTGAAAGACCGAGACACTGAGGCCTAAAGAGGGCAGAGGCCCATCCGGAGTCAATGGGCGGCGTCCAGACTCGAACCTGATCTGGATAGAGCCTGCAGGAGGGCCAGGCCCCCGTCCTACCACACCCGCCGCCATTAGTGCCCACAGCCTAAGGGTTGCCCCCGCCCCCGGGCTGTCCCTCTCGCCGCCCCGCAGTCACCTTCGGCCTTCGCTCCGTTCCGCGCCAACCCAACTTCGGGCCCGGCTCCGTTCCTGCCCGGGGTCCGCGCCGCCACCCCCGCCGCGTCCCGCCCCTGCCACGGCCGCCGCCGCCGCCGCCATCTTAGGGTCCCGCCACCTCAACAACAACTTTATAGACAAACGCAATCACGGGGCGGGGCCAGAGGCGGAACCAGCCGGCTGGGGGCGGGGGCTGCAGGGGAAGGGGCGGGGCCAGCGCGAGATTCCTGGGAGGAGCCGGCCTGCAGGGGGCGGGGCTAACGTTCGTACTTCAAGTTTGGGGGCGGGTGGGAGTGGCGGGCGATCCCTGAGAAGGACGCGCAGCGCCCCAGAGGCTCCCAAAGCAGAGCCTCTGGGTTAGGGGAGCCGCTCTTGGACGGGCGGCGCTAGGACCCTGCGGGTAGCGGCGGGGGCGGAGCAGGCGGCAGCAGGACCCGGGGGAACCGCGGCGGGCCGGCGGCGAACAGGCCCGGAGCCGGGAGGCTGCGGGCGGCGGCGCTGGGCCCGGCGCGGCGGGAGAGGCCCCGAGATGCCAAGCAAGAAGAAGAAGTACAACGCGCGGTTTCCGCCGGTGAGCACGTGGCCGAGCTGGGCCTCCGCGGGTTGGGCTCCCGGGAGGCTCGGGCCCAGGTCCTGCCGGCGGGGGGGCGGGTGCCTTGAGGTGTTCGCGGCCTGACGCCCCGCCCCCTTCCATGCCCTAGTGGCTTAGTGCCTCCCGCCCCCTTCTCTCGGGATACCCCCCGGCTGCCCCCGGCCCTCCTGCAGGGACGCAGGACACGGCGTCCGAGCTCTGCCTCCTTCCTTCGGCAGGCGCGGATCAAGAAGATCATGCAGACGGACGAAGAGATTGGGAAGGTGGCGGCGGCTGTGCCTGTCATCATCTGTATCCTACTAGGGGCTGGCTGGGCTGAGGGGCGTGGGGCGGGACTTCGGCACTCCCCTCTTCCGATTCTCCTTGACGCCCCTCAGCCCGGGCGCTTGAGCTCTTCCTGGAGTCGCTGTTGAAGAAGGCTTGCCAGGTGACCCAGTCTCGAAATGCCAAAACCATGACCACGTCCCACCTGTGAGTGACTGCAGAGCTGGGACGGGCTTGTGATGAGGCAGCGTCCTGACGGGGGAGTGGTGGGAGTCTCAGGGAGTTTGAGCCAGTTTGGTGGGTTTGGACTGAGGTAGGGAGGGATTAGGTGTTCCAGGTGGAGGGAATAACTAGAGCCAGGCCCTCGAGGCCGGGTGGAAGTGGGGAGGGGTGTTTCTCTCTTCCAGTGTCATGACACGAAAAAGCTGTTTTATATCCTTCCGTAAGTGGTCCCTTTGAACGCCTTCCTCTCCTGCTTCTTCCAGGAAGCAGTGCATTGAGCTGGAGCAGCAATTTGACTTCTTGAAAGACTTGGTGGCATCCGTGCCTGACATGCAGGGGGATGGGGAGGATAACCACATGGATGGGGACAAGGGTCCTCGAAGGTGGGTAGCCAAGACCAGGTATATAGGTGGGAAAGGCCAAGGCCACAGGGTTGGGGGTGGCTGGGGGGTGAACAGGAGGAGAGAGTCCTCTGGGCAGATGGACTGTACCTTCCCGAAGGGGCCGGAAACCAGGCAGCAGTGGCAGGAAGAATGGAGGCACCGGAAGCAAAGGCAAAGACAAGAAGCTGTCTGGGACAGACTCAGAACAGGAGGTGAGTGAGGCCAGCTCCGTGATGGGAAAGGTAGCCTGCACTGGGCAGCGCTGCCTGGAGGCCTGCTCTGACCCTTATCTACAATCTCTTGTACCTCTGTCTCCATGTGTAAATTCTGACAGGCCTATCTCTGCTCTCCAAGGGGTCTGGGCTTGCCAGTGATGGGCCCAGGCCTTCTCTCATTAACCCTGACCCTTGGTGTGCTCACAGGATGAGTCTGAGGACACAGATACTGATGGGGAAGAGGAGATACCACAGCCTCCACCCCAAGCCAGTCACCCCCCTGCCCACTTTCAGAGGTAAGCAGCCCAGGGACACCAGATGGGGGCATGCCAAACTCCTCAGAGCCAGTTTGACTCCCCTAACTGCTTGGTGGTGGTGGTGATTGGTGGTGACCGACTTAGGGAGTGAGAGGGGACCTTAACCACAAGAGACTGTCCTAAGAAGGTCTGTTCTCACAGTAGTTGGGGAGAGAACCTGGATAGTACTCTCTCTGGGCCCTTCTCTCCTAGCGCGGCTTGGCTCCTGTGACATCATGGGTGGCTTGTACCACAGCTGCCTCTGGAGGATGGCAGTAGGGCCTGTAGGTTGGGCAGAGCACAGTATCATGCCCTGATTTTATCCATTTTCTGTCCTGCAGCCCTCCAACCCCCTTCATGCCCTTCACCTCTCCTCTGCCTTTGCCCCCAGCGCCCCCTGGCCCCTCAGCACCTGATGCAGAGGATGAAGAAGACTATGACTCCTAGCGCCCACTGCCCCTTACCCCAGGCCATATACCCCCTTTAGTTAGTATTAGTTGCTCTGGGGAGAAAACAAAGATGGAATTGTTCTTAAATTTATTAAAAAAAAAAAAAAAAGAAAGAAAGAAAAAGAAAGAGGATTTTGGTTTCTTTTCAGTCTGTGTCCTGGGATTTGTGACTGCATTCTTTATTTATTTTTTCTCCTTGAGATAAGGTTTCTGTGTATAACAGTCCTGGCTGTCCTGGAACTCACTCTGTAGACCAGGCTATCCACTTGCCTCTGCCTCCCAAGTGTTGGGATTAAAGACATGTGTCCTGCCGGGCGGTGGTGGTGCACGCCTTTAATCCCAGCACTCTTTTGGGAGGCAGAGCCAGGCGGATCTTTGTGAGTTCGAGGCCAGCCTGGTCTACAGGGCGAGATCCAGGACAGGTACCAAAACTACACAGAGAAACCCTGTCTCAAAAAACCAAAAAAAAAAAAAAAGACATGTGTCCCCACTGCCCACCTACTTACCTCCCCACGTGGAGGCGGGGAAGGGCAGTGGTGGACCAGCCAGTGCCTGAGTAAAAAGGGGAGTCTGGGGTACTATCAGGAGCACTGAAGAAAGGAAGATGGTCTAGGAATGGAGCTACCACATGCTGGAAGTGCTGCAGGTTAACCCCATGTGCTGTGGGGCCTTGGGCAGCCTTCTGCCCTTCTCTGGGCTGCTGAGAAGGGACAGATGGGATCAGTACTGAGACTGGGCCTTGAAAACTCTGGAACTCTTCAGTCAGCGCAGTGAAGGAACAGGAAGGAAAGAGGGCTCGCGGCGGGCCGTGGAGCAGCTTTTGAGCCGAGCAGTCCGCACACCTGTTTCTGAGCAGGCTGGGCAGCTTCAGTGCCAAAGGCAGAGCGCATCTTCAAGGAGCTCTGGTGGGGGGTGAAGCAGGAGACGGTGGCCACGTGGGGTTCCTGAAGGTCCATCTGTTGACAAGCTCGCTGGCTTCTTCCAATTGGAGATTCAGGGAATCTGGGGGACATGCTGGGGGTGGGGGAGGATGATGGTGGCTCCGGTAGGGGAGGCCCAGGCCTGTTTGACCTTAGGCTTGCAGACAGACTGCAAAGGGGTAAAGGAGGGTATTGGTAAGCACCTTTGCTAGTTTCCTTTGGCTCTTTGGCAAGAGTGGGACCCTTTCCCAGCTGAGGGATATGAGAGAAAAAGACAAGATTTGGTTTGAAGATCTCAAGTTTGGCTCTGATGAATTTGGGGTGCTCTTGAGGTCACTGAGGAATGTGGATTGGTCACGTTGACATGGACACCTAGAGACAGATGTATGAACTTGGAAGGGAAGGCCACCAGACAAGAGCTGCCACACCCTGAGCTGTCTATACAAATGGTCTGGTAGAAGAGAGATGACAGTTGTCAAATGCTTTGATCAAGGAAGTATCCCCAAGAGGAGAGTCTTTGCACACCTGCTTTGTAGCTATTGAGGGAAAGGAGAGCTGAGAAGGGACTAAAGGAATGCAGGGTATGTTTACTTTTTCTCTGTAAAATGTATGTGTATGGGTGCATATAATATAATGCCTGCATTGTGTGCTACATGTGTGCCTGGCACGAACAGAGGCCAGAAGAGGGCATTGAATCCCCTGGAACTAGTTTCAGATGGTTGCCAGCCACCTTGTGGGTCCTGGGAGTCTGAACCCTGGTCATTTGGAAGGGAATGCTGAGCAATGTCTCCAGCCCCCTGCTTTTTAAGGTGGCGAAAGGTGCCAGGCGGTGGTGGCGCACGCCTTTAATCACAGCACTCCGGAGGCAGAGGCAAGTGGATCTCTGTGAGTTCGAGGACAGCCTGGTCTACAAAGCGAGTTCCAGGAAAGGCACCAAAACTACACAGAGAAACCCTGTCTCAAAAAACAAAAACAAAACAAACAAACAAAAAAAAAGATGGCAAAAGGTGTGGAGGATGAGAGGCACTTGCCCAACACAAAACCTTGGGTGAGATCTCTGGCACTGCAAAAAAAGACTTTGAAAAGCAGGATGCAAAGTTCCCTGTGCCGTGTGAGGGAAGACAGGCTAGGATGGGGTTTCGGACCGTGGGAGGAAAATGGCTGGGCGCTGGAGACAGACCTCCAAGGGTGCTGCCCTCCTTTCCTCCACTCCCATTTTGGATATAGTGCTGTGACTCCTCCACCCCAGCCTGAGGTGTGGGCACCTGACCCCACTTCTGGGATTGAATGGGCATGAACGGGCATGGTGCAGCCTGGTCAGTCGGTGCCATATTCTGGCTATGGTGACTGCTCTCAACACACCTGAGCTGGTGAGGCTGGTAGAAGGGGAACTGGGTGCTGCTGGGAACTTTGCCCACTCCTGGGCTTGAGAATGAGAATGGTGCAGGCCCTGGAGCCTGAGGACATTGGATCACCTCAGTCAGTCCCATCAGGTGCCTGGTATGCCTGTATTTCCTAGTCACATGGACCAGGAGGCTTCCTCCCACTCCGTACCACCAACACTTGAAAGAACTCTGGGTAGCATGGGGGCTGTGTAGCATGGGTAGGGTATGTTCATAGGAACACTGTTTTTTAGCTGAAGACGGGGACAGGAAAGGCAAACACATGGGGCACCATAGCAAAGGCCATGCCTAGCGCAAGAGACTCTTAAGAGTTGTGGAGTAGAATCCATCCAAGTAGTGGATTCTGGGCTGGAGAGATGGTTCAGCAGTTAAGAGCACTGATGCTCTTGTAGATGACCCAGGTTCAATTCCCACAACTCACCTGGCAGCTCACAACCATCTGTAACTTCAGTTCCAGGAGACCCAGTGTCCTCTTGCAATACACACACATGTTCATACATGCAGGCAAACGTACACATGAAATAAAAATGTTAGGGGGCAAGTGGCTCAGCAGTTAAGAACACTGATTGCTCTTCCAGAGGACCTGAGTTCAATTCCCAGCACCCACATAGTGGCTTACAACTGTCTGTAACTTCAGTTCCAGGGGATCTGACACCCTCAGACAGACATATGTGCAGGCAAAACATCAATGCAAATAAAATGAAAATAATTTTAAAAAATGTTAAAAAATAAGTGGGTTCTGGGGCCAAGTGTGGTGGCACCTGTATCTCAGTAGAGGCAGGAGGATCTCAAGTTTGAGGCTGGCCTGGGCAGCATAGTGCAGTTCTGCTCCCAAGAACAGAAAGATCAGTTCTGAACTCAGGATTCATAGGATGATGGGAAGACAGAGAAACCAGGGTGCTGGGGAAAACCCTTGCTGCTGCTGCTGCTGCTGCTGCTGCTGCTGCTGCTGCTGCTGCTGCTAGGCAAAAGACCTGGGGAAACACGGTGCCTGCCAGACGGTGCCAGACGGTGCCTGGAGCCTCTACAGTCAGGCCCTGGGCTCACACCTGCACTTACTAGTCTTGGACAAGCTCTGCAGCTTCTCTGCCTTGGTTTTTCACCAGTAATGTGGGACTCATTATTGTCTGTGTTAGATGTGTGTACTACACTGGTTATACCTGTACATGGGGAAACAATACAACAGAGCACCAAATACTCAAATACAGAGTTTGCCCTTATCTGGCCTCTGTGGGTACATAGGTATATATGCACACTGGCCCATAAATCTGTGTCCAGTGTAGTGGTGCACACCTGTAAATCCTAGCATTCTGGAGGCAGAGGCCGGCAGATTCCTGATTTTGAGGCAATCCTGTCTTACATAGTGAGTTCCAGGTCAGCCAGAAACACACAGGCCCTGTCTCAAAAATACAAAACAACAAAGAAATTTCTAAAAAAAGAAAAAAAAAAGAACTTAAGAATCTATCTATGCCAAAGCCAGTGTTCTAAATGGTGGTAATTCTGCAAACAAAATGTCCTTGGAGTTTGAAAAGGAGAGACAGATGACAACGTCCAGAAATAGCATGTCAGATGGTGACTTGTATTGTGGGGACATAGGAGTGGGGGGCACCTAGGGCAGGAAGAGGGTGACCTAGCATTCTGCACCAGGCATGGGGACAATTTGAATAAGGTAAGATTTGAGTAGAAATCCTGGCAAGCAGGGGGTGAGCAGACAGCTCTGTGGGAAGGCTGGGAGGGTAGGAGCAAGTATATGGTATAGCTCGGTTCCCCTTTTCTCTTCCAGCTTCCACTTCCTTAGCCACAGCCCAGAGTTTGACTTGGTCCCATCTCGGCTGATGGGTATCCCTATGGCAACTGGCAGTCCCTCCTGGCCCAGAAGCTTTGTAGAGAAGGGAAATCTTAGTGGTGGGACACTTATAGCACGTTTGCCTAGGATACTGCTTGACATGGGTCTCACAGGCCAGGGACGGGGCAGAGGAAGGAATGTTGGGAGTCTCAGTGACTTCCTTGAACATCTCTTCCAAGCCTGGATGATGTTTCCCTTCTCCTCCCTAGGTATCATCTTCACCTCTAGTGGGAAGGTGTTACGGCCATTCAAGTACCAGGGCTTGTCAGATAAAAATCCATTGTTGGCTGTGTTCCCTTCAGAGCCATCCTCCAGGGAAAGTGTCCCCACTGTCCCCAGCTTACAGGAGTGAGTGAGCACCTGAGTTTTCCCTTTGGCAGAGTTGCAGATGGGGGCTTACCCACATACTCATGCGGTGGACTGGCGTGTGGGGGAATAGAGCAGGCACTGTCCCAGAACCAGAGCCATGTCTTTCTGGAGCAGGACACAGAGCTGCAGGACACAGAAGTGACCGAGTGTGCACGCTTCTAGGCTAGGGGTATGTGTCCCGGGGGAGGTTCTGGCACTCTCCTAGGGGTTGGTCTCACTGCTCCTTGGTGCAGGATCCTTGGTGACAGACAGTAGGTCTGGATTTCCTCAGCGCCTCCTTATAGTTGAGTGTGTTGGACCCTCCACCTCCCTTTGTAAGGTGAGCTATCTTTATATTCTCAAAGAAGCTTTTCCTATTGTGTGGGGGTATTCATGTATGTGCAAATGTTTGTATGTTTTTTTAAACTAAATTGTACCTGGCTTCTAGCCAGAGCATACACAAAAAAACCCCACCCCCTGGTTAACCTGGAACTCTCTCTGTAGTCCAGGCTAGCCTTGAACACACACACAGGTCTGCCTG